AGACGCCACCTTTAATAATTAATTTTTTTTTCTTTTTTGATTTTGTTGTTGTTTTTTATTTAATTTTTTTGTAAAAAAAAAATCAAAAATGATTTTTTAAAAAAATTCGAAATGGGTTTTTTGTAAATTAAATTTGAAAATTCGAAATAGGTTTTTTTTAAATTAAATTTGAAAATTCGAAATGGTATATTTTTAAATTTAGTTTGAAAATTCGAATTGGGTTTTTATAAAAATTAAGTTTGATTATATATAATTATGTTTTTTTTTGTGTTAATTCTGTGGAAATATAGAAATTAAATGTATTATCCGTTAAATGTATTTATTGTAATATATAATTGATGCAGGAATATGGTGGAGACGGAAATGATTACAGTGGGATATTTGGACATGATGGTCCATTCGAAGAAGCTCAACAGGCGATTGATTGGGCAAAACAGGTTGCAATTGCAGCTGGATTTTGCTTGGTAGTAGCAACTCATAAATCTCAACGGGATGGTAGAATGGATCGCATTTTGAGATGTGACCGTTATCGCAAAAGAGAAGAAAGAGATTTTCGTACAGCCACTCGGTTTGACACAAAGCGGAAAGGTTGTGGGTGTGAGTTCAGAGTAAAGGTTCGACAACTACGGAGTCGTGACGGTTGGGAAGTGATAGGTTACTCTAAATGGGGGTATCACAACCATGAGATGATAGTATATGAAGAGGGTCATCGACAACTGAGCGGCTTAAGTCCTGCTGCGAAACTAGTTGTGAAAGAAATGAGTGATGCTCAAGTGAAGCCTGCTAAAATATTAGCATCTGTGTTAGAGAAATTTCCAGAAGACCATCCAAACCGAAGACACATCTACAACGTCAGACAACAACTCAAGTTTGAACGGTCAGAGGGAAGGAACCCTATACAGCAGCTGCTACACCAGGCACAATCACGTGGTTACCTGTTCTGGTTTGATTCTGATGAAGATACAGCGGAGGTGACTCATCTTTTCCTTGTGCATCCTGATTGTGCTGATATGATCAAGTCTTGGCCATTTGTGATTTTGATCGACTCAACGTACAAGACAAACAAGTACAAGTTCCCTCTGGTTGAGATGGTTGGGATGGCTCCAACGAACCAGAACTTTCTGATTGGTCATGCAATCATCAGGGATGAGACGGCTCCAAGTTATTATTGGGTGTTGGAGAAGCTGAGAAACTACATCGGGCCTAATGTTCATCCAGCAGCCATCGTCAGCGACTGTGAGGGAGGTCTCTTTGCCCCCATAGCAGAGCTGTTTCCCGAATCGAACCACTTATTGTGCACATGGCACATCAACAACTGCGTGAAAGTGAAAGCCTACAACCTTTTCAAGAAGAATTTGGAAATGGCAGAGAGATTGGTGAATGGTAAGTGGCGGAAGATCCTACAGGCTACCACAGAGGAAGCGTATGAGCGAGCATTGGCTAACTTCAGGGATTCGTACCAGTGGTGTCCGACACTGGTGGACTATGTGATGCATCAATGGGTCCCTCACAGGGAAAAGTTTGTCAAATATTGGACAAACCAGGTACTTCATTTTGGGAACACTACAACATGTAGAGTTGAGAGCGCTCATAGAGCTACCAAGGACTGGATTGATTCATCGACCGCTGCTTTGGATACACTGTTCGCTAGACTGAACAAGTCAATTGAAACTCAGAAGAACGACATCAGGAACTCTCTAGAGGACTCCAGACGACGACATGGTACGATGTATAGCCATTTTATATTTAAGATTCTCCAAGGTCGTGTGTCGCACTACTGCTTGGGGTTGATTCTCACTGAGCTGAACAGGGTGAGGGACTTGGCTGACGAAGTGTATACTCGGTGTGGGTGTACTATTTCAGTAACTCATGGATTACCTTGCGCATGCACCATTCACCGCGTTATTACAGAAGAAAGGGCGTCGTTAGATGTTGATCAGGTTCATTCATTCTGGAGGACGCTTGTTATTGGTGAGCATGCAGACAATCAAACGGCCGACCGTGAACAGGAGGAGTTGGAGCAGTTCCGTTCGATGTACGACCGAGTGTCCTCCAGCCATCCTTCTATTATTCGTGACGCTACTCATGTACTTCATGACATGTTCCACCCGTCTAACTTAGATTATGAGGAACCCGAAGGAGTTGACCGTCCTCGAGGTCGACAACGGCGGAACAGGAGTGCGTTTGAGTATATCCGTGGTCTTGGTCGTGGTCGTTCTCGTGGTCGGACATCGTCATCTAGTCGTAGTCAATATTCATCGTCTGTGAATATGCCCCTGAGAACTGGTACGTTTTGGTTGTTTTTATTGCACATAGTTTTAAAGTGTTACTCCTGCCTTCTTAACTGTCTATAATTAATTATATGGTGAATAGGAAGAAACGATGTTGATCAGTTTCCGTACAAGGAAAGGATACCTGCGATCATCATGTCGTACTTGGAAGGGTGGAATGATGTAATCGGAGATGGTAACTGTGGATTCCGGGTCGTGGCTGATGTTTTTCAAATGGGCGAAGACAACTACAGTTTGGTGCGTGAGTTGATGTACAGCGAAATTGCCTCTAACCGAAATGTTTATCGTCATGTGTACCAGGATGACTTGGATGGCGCTCTGCGGCGTATCCGGTGGGGAGGTGGACCTTGCGGCGAAAATCATTATTTTGACGCGCCCCTAGATCTGTTTGCCGTTGCAAACATTTACAAATGCGCAGTCATGCATTTCGGCCTGGGAGTGCATAGTCCTGGGTACCCTAACACTAGGGTTCGGGCCGAAAGGCATCCAGTTCACCTGTATAATAACAACATATAAAATTTAATAACATGAATATAATATGTGCAAATAATAAAATGTAGACTCTATAAATAAACGTTACCTCTAAGGGGGACAGCCTGTCCAGCAATAACCGTATCGATCGGAGGCGGTCAACGGACTTCTTCTCCGAGCGCGGACTCCACGCACAAGCACGCGGCATCCCCTCATCAATAGGAACTGGGTCACGATGTGGTCGCAATGCAGGAAAGTACTCGTATATCCAGGTCTGCAATAGAGTCAGACACCCAGTGATACCTTCCGCGTCAGCCCGACTCGCAAATCCTAGTTGGCGATACAAATACGCCAACGTAGCCGATCCCCAGGAAAACTGGCCTACACTGTCGGGGTCACACGCCTCTACGATGTCGCGTGGCCTGAGCTTGTTTCCGCCGCTCTTATCCGGAAACAAGGTACATCTGAGGAGTAGAAAAACATAAGCACTCAGCTGTGCGTCGGGCGTCCTACGTGCACTCAGGTACAAACACCGCTGCAACACGGATGCGATCTTCTCACCTCCGTGTTCCCAAACACCTAGCGCCTCGATGTACAGTGCAACCCTGTCCACCGCCAACAACTCCGCCAGCGAATCTGCCTGATCCGCATCAGCCACAGCACAAAGTCGTTTACCCTCAACACGAATCCCCAGAATGGCCTCGACGTTATGTAACATGATCGTCATCTCACCGAACGGAAGGTGGAAAGAGTTTGTATCCGGCTGCCATCGCTCAATGAAAGCCGTGATCAGCGTACTGTCAATCTTATCGTGCATGGTGGCAGGAACGTGCTTCACCCCAGTGCCCTCCAGTCGCTCGAACAACTCGCTCTCCGCCGGCCAGGCCTCAGCCCATGTACGCAAAAAGCTACAAGTCTTTTCCCGGGTATGACATTTCAACAACCCCGTAACTGAAGGCCTCTCCTGGTCCTCCCAAATACGGGCAGCTATGTGTCCTAGAAAGCTAGGAATCACACTCCCGTCAACAGGCCCACCGGGCACCTCACTCCTAACAACCCAAGAATCATTACCGGCCCTCGACCGTTTCCTGCTTGCCCCAGATACAGTGGACGCAGATGATGTGCCAGAACTACTAACAAACCTACCACCCCTACCCTTACGCACCTCCACCATATGCGTCTCGTACATGTCATCAACCCTCTGACTGAATGGACCGTAATCATCATACGGTCCACTGCCATCGTCCACATCCTCATCCTCATCTGCGCCCTCCTCCTGCTCCTCCTCCTGGTCACCCTCCTCAGCATCATCATCGTCATCGTCATCCTCATCCCGACGGTGGATCCGTTCTCTACGAACTGAGGCCGAAATACCACGGGATCTGACATGTCTATGCCCCGACCTCTCCACTGAATAACTTCTACTAAGAAGCTCTATATTCTTCCCCGCACCATGACGACCCAGTGAATTCTACACAAAATTTTAAAATATATAAACATACAAAAATTTATACGATAAATAATCATCATCGCAAATCAAATAAACTAAAAACATACAAATAATTGTAAACAAAATATAAACGTAGAAAAAATACAACGAAATTGAAAAAATTTATAAAAATAAACAACAAAATATAAAAACAATTCAAAATTATATTACAAAAAAAATAAAAAAATAAATTAAAAACAATTTTTTAAAAAAATAAAAAAAAAAAAAAAAAAATGGGGGGGGGGGCGCCCTGGCTGGACGCCCAGCCGGCGGTGGTGGCGCCAGCTGCAGACGCCGCCACCAGTTGGCTGGCGCCTGGGCTGGACGCCACAGCCACGGCTGCGGCGCCTAGAATAAACGCCACAACCGTGGCTGTGGCGTCCAGCCCAGGCGCCAGCCAACTGGTGGCGGCGTCTGCATCTGGCGCCACCACCGCTGGCTGGGCGTCCAGCCAGGGCGCCCCACCGCGTTCACGGCGGTTTTTCCCCCTTTTTTTTTTTTTTTTAAACAAAATGTACCTTTCCTCCTTGGGACATCCTTCCCTCCGCCGCCGCCGCCAATTCCTTGCCTTGCAGCCTCGACATTGCCGTTATTTGAATTTTTTTTTTTTTAGAGAGGTTGAAAGAATATGAGCAATTTGAGTGTGAGTGATGAGAGTGTGAGTGATGAGAGTGTGAGTGTTTTTTTTTTAAGGTCAAGGGCAATTTTGGCAAACCAAGTAAATTTTGTGGGCTTTATGTAGTAATTTGTGGGCGATGTTTAACAAATCCTAAAAAACCATTTACCAAACATGGCCTTAGTCTTCCCCTCTCACCTTGAGTGTTCATTCCCTTAGCCCCATTTCCCAATTCCTGGACCATCATCCATCACCATTCACCTTCACTTTCAGGCAATCAACTCGGGTCAAATACACCACAACACCCCATTTCTACATTTTCTCTCTCCTCTGTTCATCCAAAATCGATGATAGATCCAACCCCACTTCTCTAAATCACATTCAAACCCCAAATCACCTCAATTCAACAACAATGGAGGAATACCCAGAAGAGCTACGAACACCCCCAGTACCATTGATAACCTTGGTGGGTTGCTCGGAGCTTCACCCCACAATTTCCGCCCACCTCAACGCCGAGAAACCGCCGATCAATACCCTAGCATTGCCGGATTTCGACAAGATCTCCGTCTTCGCAAAACCCATCGATTCCGCCGATTCTTCTTCGTCGCCGCCTGCCGGCATTCTTAAGCGAGATTGGTTGCTTAAGCATCGTACTAAGATCCCTTCTGTTGCTGTCGCTTTATTCTCTTCTGATCATGTCTCTGGTGACCCTTCTCAGTGGCTTCAGCTCTCTACTCTTCTTGATCATCTCAAGTAATTTTCCCTCTTTCTCTCTCCTTTTTGACAATTATTTGATGAAACCCTAATTTAATTTGTGAAATGCTTGAGTTGATAGCTGGGATATGAATATATGATGACAAGTAATGCTAATTTAATTGCAATTTGTGTTATTGTTTGCTGAATGTTGATGGGTTGAAATTTGATAGGGAGCTTGGATTTTGCCTAAAACTGAATGTGTGATTTTGATTGACGGGGTCAGTTGAATAAGCCGTTTAATCCTATGAATTGGTATTCCATAGCTTCATGCTACTCAATATTTCGATGCAATGCTATGACACTTTTTTGCACTTCTTTTGCAATGCTACCATTATGTAGTTTGCTTATATGGGTATAGTTCGGATTGTTAGGCCGGGCAAGTCATGGTAATTCCACTTTAAGTACTTTTAAATGTAGCGTTCGACCTACAAACCTTCTAGCTAAATCAAGGATCCACAGGTGAAACTTAAAATCTTGTTGGTGGCTTTGAGCATAATTTGATCTAGTAGATGCTAGCTACTGCAGCGTGCTTGATTATGACCTAGCTTTTCACTCTAGTGACTTTGATATTAGAAAACATTTTTGAGAGAGGATTGGGATATACGAGCTGGAAGCATAGTTAGATGTGATGTGTAAATATATAGTACCGTGGTTGCTATTTCCTTTTGTTTTAATTATTAATTCTAGGAAAATTGCTTAGGTAATCTCTAGTTCGCCCAAATTATATGGTCTAAGAGTTTCTTTCTATTAGGATTTTTTTTTTTCCTCTCTTGGAAAGAGAGGCAGAGGAGTAAAAGTTAAAAGGTGAAAGTGAGATGGGCTATGTAAGTAAGGAAGAGATGCAATGTCAATCTCATTGGTTACTCCTGGTTTTCACCGTGTCCGTTTCTTTTGATTTCCACACTTGAATGTTCCATGTGTATTTTATTAATATCTCATATTTCAATCCTTCTTTTCCTTTCAGTTCTTTCAATAGTTTTGATGCGTAAATAAGAGTAATTTAATGGCTAAGGACATGATTTTCTTATACTTTCTTTTTCCTTACTTTTGATTTATTATTGTTCGCAGAACAGTTATTCGTACAAGGAATACCAAACTGGTTGTGGTGGTGGTGCAAACATCTCCTGAAGGTAAATGCTTGCTGTTGAGGGGTACATCTTGAATATTCAGTAGTTGATTTTATACTATGATTCTCTTGAACTAAATGCGCAACAATTGCTGTGCCTCAAACTTATGATCAAAGGAATCATGACATGCATTGGAGTCCATGTGACGGAACTATTATGAATAATGGAACTGTATCTTGAGCCGTGGAGTATCGTATGAATTATTATTTACTTGCTATTAAACAGATGATATGAATGAAGATCGTATGGCTGCCTTGCGCAAACGCGTGGAATTGGATTCCAAGTACGTTGTCAACTTTTCTATGAGAGATTCATCTGAAGTGAAGCAGTCCCTTAACAGGCACGATAGTCTTCTTGTTTCTTTATCTTGCACATCTTTTTTCATCTTGTGTGTATTCCTTTTCTCATGTACTTCTTTTGCAGGCTAGGAAGCGTGTTGGCCGACTTAATACACATATATTACCGGGAGGAAGGAAGACGTGTAAAAACACGGGTTGAAAAGAGAAATTTCAACTCTGCAGAAGTGCATATCCGCTGTTGCGTCAAGGTGGATCACTCATCTTTACTTTACTAATGATAGAGATGAATATGCTTTTTAGCTATATTCTGTTGTTATATGAAATAAATTTTAAAGATCTCTACATCACAAATTTCCTCTTTTATCTAGCTTTTACTGTTGCTTTCGTTTGTTGGTAACTACCGTGTGAATGTAAACCTTCTTCAGAAAGTGTCAGATGAAGTTAAGACACTACAACCCTGAACAGATTCACTTGGTTTTGTACATTTTTCCCTGTATCCATTTGAGGATAAGGGAAGTTAGGCTCTGTAAATTTTGCCCATTATTCCATTTGAAGAAAAGGAAAGTTACTTTTTTTTTAACATGGAATTGATCGCCTTGCTATTATACATTTGTATCCTTTTCAATTAATTCCTTATACCTATCAAATGATCATAAAAATAGAGTGGTAATTACCAATTTCAATATTAATATGTTGTTTATGGCATCAAAATGTTCTGCTAAAGGCAGAGAGTCACTGTCAATTACAGCATTGATCAATCTTTAAATTTTAAGAGTTAAAACAATTTCTATCTAGTTATCGTGTTATTAATTTTGCAGGTTGCTGTATATGCAGAGTTTCGTAGAGATTGGGTCGAAGCACTAAAGTTTTATGAGGACGCATATCATGCATTGAGAGAGGTATTGATACATATATTCCCTCTCCATAGGAGATCCTGTCATATACGTTAAGTTCATTTGCAACTAGTTGCCCTTGAGTAATAAATTGAATTAGGACAGCCATTTTACTGTGATAATCAATTGATTGATTTTCACAGCCCTTGTACAGCTTTATTGAAGCTTAGGCTATAGTAGGTGCAAATGTGACTTCTCTACCAGATATAGCATATCCATTTTGGTATTAACCTTTTTCGTAGAAGAGAATTGCCTATTATGGATCCTCTGACCAATAGGTCAAAGTCATCTTACATCTCTATCACATGCAGTGATCCTTGCAAAAAAAGCTTTACTACATACTTTGATGGTATAATTGAACTTATAAATGCCTAAGGAATGTTCTGCATGCACTTTTGTTTTATATACTATTTTTTCAAGTTGAAATGTTGAATAGTGATGTACCTTTTCTTTCAAATTGAAACTTGGTTTAATATACAGATGGTTGGGACATCTACCAGGCTGCCTGCAATACAACGCTTAATAGAGATAAAAACACTTGCAGAACAACTGCATTTCAAGATATCAACTTTGTTACTGCATGGTGGTAAAATTGTAGAAGCAATTTTATGGTTCCGTCAGCACTGTACCTCTTACAAGAAGCTTGTTGGAACAGCAGAAGCTACTTTTCTTCACTGGGAATGGCTAAGTAGACAGTTTTTGGTCTTTGCCGAGCTACTAGAAACTAGTTCCAAAAACCTTCCAGCCCTTCCTGCCCAAGTTTCGGGCGTCAAAGACAAGGCTCTGACTGAGTGGGAACTTCAACCAGCTTATTACTATCAGGTGATTAACTATATCAGTTTGTTGAAAGCGGATGAGGACTTAAATTATATTATGAAGTCATGCCAATGTGCCAACTCTAATTGAACAACGCTACTGTATCGTTTTCTATACTGAGGTGCTTCTTTCCTAATCCTGTTTGGGGGTGCTCTGTACTGCAGAGGACATCAAAATTCCAACAGCCCACGTGAGCAACTTCTTATTCTTGCATAGGACCTATGAGATCAGGAAACTTGTGTTTTTCATTCACAAGTCCATCTTTGTTTATGCTGCTAACTCTCAGTTTGACCCTTTGCTTCATTTTGTTAAGGAATAAGGCCAATAGGCTTGCATATTGTAGGTGTCTGTCTTAAACTTTACCATATCATGATGATGGGGATCTTTATTCAAGGTCTTGTTGATGTCTCATCATTAAAAGACTGGACTAGTAATGAAGTTATTAAAACTCATTAGTGAAAGAGACATCAATATAGCCATATGCACCTGCATGTCGTAGAGCAGCATTACTTATGTCCTTGGAGATGTCTATATGCTTCATATTCCTTCTTCTTGAGAAAAATCTTGATGCTTTCCCTTTTGTTCTCTTCTTTTGCTTTTCTTTCTGGTACATGAGGTTGTATCAGGTCTCCTTCTACCACCTGTTGATCACATCCTGTTATGGCATTGCCTCTTGCAGCGAATTCTTTTGTAATATTTCAATGACATGAGTAGATTCTTAGTGGACAATAATGGTGGGAAGAAATTTGTACTCTATATCCTGCCAAATGTGCCGATCCTAGCATGTTGTGCTCTTCAAAGAGGTTTCTAATGGGGATTTGAAGTTTTGTAGTTGATTTTTTTTTTTTTTGTTCTAACATTTGTTACCTCTTGGCAGCTGGCATCTCGTTACTTGATAGAGAAGAGATCTTGCTTGGAACTTGCTCTTTCAATGTGGGAGATTTTTGGCGAAAGTAATAATCCTGCTGAATCAGTTATACCTTCTGCTTATGTTGGGCAGTTTGCACGATTACTAGAGCAAGGTCATGAGGAAGTGGCTTTGCAACCGTAAGTTTCAATAGCTGCTGACAGAGTCTTAAGTATTTAGCTATAGTCTATTATACTAATGTTGAATCTCCTTTTTCATTGTTTCTGCCTCTGCAGTCTGACAGATGAGGAGTTCATTCGCTATTCTATCGCAGAAGGAAAGAGATTCCAGGATTCTTTTGAAATCATTGCTCTTTTGAAAAAGTCCTATGAAGTTTACGCTGGCTTAAAATTTCCAAGGATGGCATCATATTGTAGTTTTCACATTGCTAAAGAATATTTTTCTCTCGGTGAGATAAAAAATGCAAAACAATATTTTGATTCTGCTGTAAAATTATATAGGCATGAAAGTTGGACAACGCTGCTTTGGGAAATTTTGGGTTATTTACGTGAGTGTGCTAGTCAAGATGGTTCTTTAAAAGAGTTTCTAGAGTATTCACTTGAGATGGCTGCATTGCCGATTACATCTGGAGGTTCTACCTATAAAGATTGTGGCCCAGCTGGTCCTCCAAGTTTCCAACAGAGGGAAATCATTCACAAGGAGATTTTGGGCCTTGTTACTGGAGAATCAGAATTTGCATTGAAAGGTGCTGATCAGAATCTTAGGGTAACTAAAGATTCTCCTCTTCACATTGAAATTGATCTTGTCAGCCCCTTAAGAGTTGTTCTACTTGCTTCGGTTGCATTTCATGAACAATTAGTCAAGCCAGGCATGCCTACACAATTTACGCTGTCTCTCCTATCGCAACTGCCTCTCCCTTTTGAGATTGATTCAATAGATGTCCAATTCAATCAGTCAGAATGTAATTTTGTCATCCAGAACTCTCAAAAAACTTCATCACCCACTAATTTTACCAATCAAGCAGGTTATCGAGTAGAGACTGCTCCAGCTTTGGCACTCTCTACAAATAAATGGCTAAGGTTGACTTATGATGTTAAATCTGGTAAGTATTGTAGCATATTTGCTTGTAATTCATTTCAGATGTTACTTTGTGTTTGTGTAATCTGTCTATTGAAAACGGGGAAAAAAGGACAAAAGTGATATAAAAAATGTATAAAACTCAGGGAGGTAAAGGAAAGACTAGTCAGTGTAACACTTGATTCTGTATAATCGGAAAATTGACAGTGGCACATGATGTTCTCTCTGTTTTATTAATTGTTCTCGAAGTGTTACAAGGCAGAGGAGATATTGCAGTTTGCTAATTTAATACGAAGTATTTTGTATATGAAATAATCAAACGGTGAATGAATTAAACACCTAGATTTCATTCACATTCACTTTCCATGCGGACTCTACTTGGAAAATTATAACTGTCTAAGAGTGTTGTAGTGTATCCTTATTAGAAGTTGTAGATGCTTCATCTTCAGACGAGGTTAAAGAGTTCTGTTCATTTTTGCTTGCTCTTACAATCTTTGTCAGGTTTTGCACATAATTTACTCTGTCCATAATTGGCTTAATACTATTGTTTCCCTTGATTATGGCCTCTTTGTTTTTTACAGATCGAAGTGGAAAGCTTGATTGCATATCAATAATTGTAAGAATTGGATCCCACTTCACAATCTGTTGTAGGGCTGAAAGTCCTGCCTCCATGGATGATCTACCACTTTGGAAGTTCGAGGAGCGTTTAGAGAGTTTCCCAACCAAGGATCCTGCTCAGGCATTTTCTGGTCAAAAGGCGATTCAAGTTGAAGAACCTGATGCTCAAGTTGATCTGAGTGTGGATGCTGATGGTCCTGCATTGATAGGTGAAAACTTCATAGTTCCAGTTACTATATCCTCAAAGGGCCATTCTGTTTACTCTGGTGAATTGAAAATAAACCTAGTAGACACCAGAGGGGGTGGACTGGTGAGTCCAAGAGAATTTGAGCCACATTCAACTGAAAGTCATCATGTTGAGCTCCTTGGAGTTTCTGGACCAGGTGATGAAAATTCTCTTACAACCTCTGACAACATCAGAAATATTCAGCACTCATTTGGATTGATATCCGTTCCATTTCTAAACGGCGGAGAATCTTGGTCCTGTAAATTAGAAATAAAATGGCACAGACCAAAGCCGATTATGTTGTATGTTTCCTTAAGCTATTCTTCTCAGGGTCATGATGTTAATATGCAAAAAATTCATGTTCATAAGAGCTTGCAGATTGAAGGGCAGACTCCTGTTTTGATTAGCCATCATATGATGCTGCCATTTCGGCGTGATGCACTACTGCTTTCTAGAGTTAAGCCCCCTGCTGATGCTGAGAAGATGCCATGTTTGCCACTGAATGAAACAAGTATACTTGTTCTCAGTGCTAAAAATTGCACTGAGGTGCCATTAAGGGTATTGTCAATGACTATTGAAAAAGATTATAATTCCTTGGAAAACTTTTGTACTGTACATCCAGCCAGTAACCAACACACAGATGCTGCACCACTCAATATTGTTGTGCCAGGTGAGGAATATAAGAAAGTCTTTTCTGTCATCCCTGTGGCTAATACCCCGAGGACGAGAATTGGTACAGTGTGCCTCAAATGGATGAGAGATACAGGGTCACTAAGCCAAGGAGTTTCTGGGGTTTTGACCAAACACAAACTTCCTGATGCGAATATAGAGCCATCTCCACTGATAGTGAGCTTGAAATGTCCACCTCATGGTGTCCTTGGAGATCCCTTCACCTACTTCATCATAGTTCAGAACCAGACAGAGTTACTTCAGGAGATAAAGTATTCATTACTGGATTCACAAAGCTTTGTTTCATCTGGGTCTCACAATGATACAATCTTTGTCTTGCCTAAGTCGGAGCATATTTTAAGTTACAAGCTTGTTCCGCTGGCCTCTGGTGCGCAACAGCTGCCCAGAGTTACTGTGACTTCCTCAAGATACTCAGCTACATTCCAACCTTCAGTCGCCGCCTCTACTATTTTTGTGTTCCCTGTAAAGCCTCAGTTTGAGATGAAAACTATGGAATATAGTGCTGAACCTATGATGCTTGCCGCTGAATAGATTTAGTGTCATCATATAAGTTGTACTTTTTACTTGGGATCCATCATTGCACATTTAGTACACCATTTTTTCTGTGAAGAGGCATGGGGATGATACCTTTTGACATGATGGGTCTTTGAGGTCGAATAATCTGAAGATGGCTGTTGGCCTGTTGTAAGAATCATTTCAGTCTACAAATCAACACTCTGAAGATAGATTCTAATGTGCCACTCTGGCCTTGTTCTTCGTGTCACTTCGTTATGGTGTTGCTATTCTTGCTAATGAGTGTTTGAAAGTTGGTATTTCCGTGGGTGACTTGTGAAAATAGTACTAGAAGAAATCATCATTCCAGAAAGGTGCAGAACGGACCTTCATTCTTTGAAACTGACAGTATATGCTGAACTTTTTGGAAGACTTGGTAAGACTTCATGCTGTTATGATGCTGGATTCATGAATTGAATTGCCAAGAGGTTGTTTTTTAAGTATCTGCACTAATACATTACAGCATTACGCACAGTTTAGCATGCCTCAATTACCTTAGATACTGTGAAGTAGCCAAAAGTGATGCCAATTGGCACTGGTACTGGCACTGGCACTGGCACATTGAGAATCATTGCTTGCACATCTCAGAACTGAAAAGTGCTTCTTGAACTTGGATTGTACTTGGTTACTTTTCAGCAGTGAATTTTTGTATCATCTGCTTATACACATTATCACCAAGGAAATGACCGAGAACTGGGGCATTTAGTCGCTTGCTCTTGTGTCTGAGTTCGATTTACTGGTGGTGTCTTGTTATAATTTAATGTTCTTTACTGATAATTACACTTCTTTGTATAGAATGATTTTTGAATTGTAGGATATTAGGGGTCCCCCGTGCTACGGGATAATCAAAATTTTCATTTCTCGTAGGCAAATGGCAAACATACCATCTTTGTTATCATATTTTCAATTTATTCGATTTATTAAACCTAATTTTAACTTAATGGATTATTATCTCGTGTACACTTAGGCCTTACATAGTTACATTTTTGGACTTATTTTTTGTTCAGTTTAACTCAATTTACCTCATTATTCTACTTCGTAAATAATAACAGTTCAACTCAATGGGCAGGCCCTTAATACTTCCACTCATATACAAAAACGGATCATGTGATGCAAGACAAGAAAATAATGTAGTTCTTATTAACTATCTCAATATCATGCATTCATGCAAATAGTAGTGTATGTTTTAGTTTATGATCAACCAAGAAAGTAACAAATTTATTAGGAAAATTGTAATCTAATAATCCCACCTTTAGTCGGTCTTCCATAAACAATCCCACCTTTTGAAATTTCAGAAACAATCCCACCTTTAACATGGATCTTCCATTAACGATCCTTTTGACCTATTACCGGTTAAACCGGTCAAACTTTTTTTATTTTTTTAATTCATCTCCTCCCACCTCCCTCCCTATTTACCACCTGAGCCACCCAAACCACTACCTCCTCAACTCCTCACTCCTTACCAACCACCAGTCACCCAGCACCAGGCACAACCCTCACAAAACCCCACCAGCAACCCCTTACCAGTTACCACCCACGCACTCCTCCACCTGCAACCCTCTTACACCCACGCACTCCTCCACCAGCAACCCCCTAATAACACCCACGCATTCCTCCACCAACCATGAATTCTTTCGCCGCGGCAAGTTCAATCCACCATCCCAACCATTTCCCCTGGCTGCAGCCCCACCCCGCCCTCACCTTAGCTGAAACCCGACCCCATTTGAAACCCTAACCCCCACATGAACTGAACATCATCACCCAAAACCATATTTCGCTTGTGAAATTGTACGGTATGAATGAAATTGAATCAATACAACTGCCATGATTGAGCTTAATTAAACCATTGATGAAAGATGTTGATGATGCGTGGTGATGATGAAGTGTACTACCAAGAAGAAACACGTGTGGTGATGATGATGCGTGGTGATGATTGAATCAATCACTCGCCCATTAGGGTTGTCGGGGAAGAGATGATGCCTGAGTTGGGTTGCCGGGGAATTGAAGGAATGCGGCTGCTACAGTGATGTGGAGGGGCGATGATGACGCCTGAGTTTGGTTGCCGGGAAGGGATGCGGCAGTGGTTTCGTTTTTTTTTTTTTTATTATTTTTTTTATTTTTATGGAAAAAATAGAATATACCTATTAAACATCGACACATGTCATAAAACCTAAGAAAACCGGTTACCAAAACGATTCAATCGATTAGGGATCGTTAATGGAAGATCCATGTTAAAGGTGGGATTATTTCTGGAATTTCAAAAGGTGGGATTGTTTATGGAAGACCGACTAAAGGTGGGATTATTAGATTACATTTACCCAATTTATTATCAATTTATCATTTCTAGCAATTTTTGACAATGATAGTTCTGATTACGTTACTAACCTCATTTGTGATGCAACCTATAAATTTATAATCACAATACTTGTTTTGAAAAAATTAAGGACATGTCTATAAGAATTATACCTCCAAAAGGGACCATGAAAATATAGATTTGTAGTTGTACATACTAAAAGACTTGGGAGTTGGACTTGAAATTTTTACAATATGCTTTATTTATTTTTTTTTTTTAAAATATTTTTCATAAAATCACCAATGCATGATTGAGCCAAAAATCCCAATTGTATAACAACAATACGCATTATTTTCAATTTTTCATTGTAAATTTGTAATATCAAATCGACAAATTCTCGGTCTATTAACTTTATCTTTGATGCACCCGCTGCATTAAAACCTATTACGAAGTATAAGGTACATAATAATATGTATTTTGAAAAGAAAACAAAAAAAAATCAATGCAGATTAGAGTATAATTGCACTATCTCCGTTAAATATAAGTTGCAACTTAAAATTTTTATCTCACGAATAATATCTCAAAATTGCAACTAATATCTAACGGAGATAATATTATAATTTCCCTCCACGAGAGACCCACCAAATCACAAAATCTTTTCACCAAAACAGTAAATAAAGAAAGAAATAATTTGTACACTGTTTATTCTCGAAAATCGAGATAATAGCATCAAGATTTTTGGTATAGCAAATCTTCAGGAAAAAAAAGAAAAAAAAAATCCCACATTCCCTAGTTTGGCTCACAATAACCCCAACCACTAAATTTTGCAGAGTACAGTAATATTTTTTCTTCTTTTTATTCCTCTTTTTTCTCACAATTTTCAAACCCATAAAAAAACCGTCTTCTTCTTGGATACTCGTAAAGGTATACATACTTCTTCTCAAGTCTTTACGACATTTTTTTTGTACTTCAAAGTATACTTTTATATGTATTTGAGTTTTTTTTATAATTTTTTTTTTATTCTTTTAGTTATTTATTGTTATTTTAAGTTCTTGATTTTCAAGAAACTATGTACTTTAAAGTAGTACAGTGAAAAAGTAAAGATCTTGATTATGATATATGGCCGGCATGTCAAATTTGCAATTAAAAATAGGGTTTTTTTACAGTTTATTTAGACTATTATTAGTTTTAACTATAACCCTATTCTTTAAGAGTTTTACAGAATAGGAATCGGTAAACATAACTGGTAAAATTAGTTTGAAAGTAAAGAACAATTTTGATGTTTAAAAATCACCTTAGATTTAGTTACTCCCTCCGTTAACAATCTTTCGATAAATCTACATGACATGACAATATTGTTTGATTCATCCAACATGTATCGTTGAATTTTATCGACATTGACATTCTAAATTGTTTTATATAACGTGTTTGAAGATATATCTACGCAATGTTACACAATAGGAAATCTGATATTGTCACGTGGAGTCTTGTTTGAAACTTTTGAATCTCATATATTTATTTAACACAAAATTAAACATATAAATGGCCAAACATATATTCTCATATATTTATAAAAGGATTATTATTTAGAAACGGAAGGAGTGGTTTATATTAGTTTCAATTGGTAAATATCAAGTGAATAGAAGAATGTTTATAGTTTTGATTGTTAAAAATCAGTTTTTTGTTGATTAGAATTAATTAAGATTTAGATTAGTTTTAAGTACTAAAAGTATTGTTTGCATAAAAAGGTAAGAGTTTTTTTTGTTTTTAATTTCATCCAATTTGATCAATTTAAAAGATTTTTATAATTCCATTTTATAGCTTTTTCATGGACTTCAATATGTAAATTAAATTAAGCCTACAATGGCGGAAAACCCAGTAGATTTTACTATGGTAAATGTTTATTTTGAAGAATGGTGGGACTTGTTAAGTGTGCGAATCTTGATCTTGATTTAAGAGGTATACAACTGAAGATGGAGTATTTTGGGGACTGTGTGAATACCAAATAAAGTATTCCAAATTTGGAAAACATTAGATAAGACTCATAAGAGACGTTTCAATACTACCTAGATTTTGATTTTCGGGTGATGAACTAATAAATGCATAGTGTACAGTATCGAGTTGTGTCGTGTTAGGTGTTTTAGATATCTAATAATCTTATGCTTTCTGGTGATAGATATGTTTTGCCTATTAGGGTGTGTGTTTCAATAATATAATGTATCGGAGTTTGTTAGCATCTGAGGTGCTTGTCACTTTGGCTACCTTGTTGTTTTGAGCTTTGGTTTGATTTATACTAATAATTGGATTATGATTATCAAAAAGTTATACTGGTTGTAGTGGAAAAAAGCACGGAGATGGACAATGCAAAATATCATCATGGAACAAACAAATAAGTAAGTTAAATAGACAAGTACTACATAAGAATGGTGAGAGTATATCAGTTTGTACTTTTCGACTCTAGCTATGATATTTTTTTTAACCAAAAAAAAAAAAAAAAGAAGAATGGTGAGACTATAGTAGTTGTACTTTTAGGCTCGAGCTAAGTTTGGCCATGCGATAACTAATTAACTATGTTTTTTTTTTTTTATTTATTTATTTATTTATTTATTTATTTTTTTATATCACATTTGTGGTAGTTATTTCATCTTACAAATGTACAACAGCCTTTTTTGGTCATAACCTAGTACCATTCTCTTGCTCATGCATATTGTATATATATGTATACTTACAACTCACAATATACTCGTGCTTATTTCCAGCTGTTGTTTACATTGAAGATTGAGATGCATATAAATGAATCATTTTATGTGGAAAGAAATAGCACTTTGCCAAGAAGACTAAGAAGCAATCAAGGGGATTATATTCAATGCTACCAACAACAAGAGTGTTCAAGGATTGTAGTCCCTATTGATCATGGACGCTCTAGAAGTTTTGGTTCTAGGTCCCAGCACCTAGTGGAGGATTCTGAATACCCTGGAACATTTCACACTAATTATTCTATGACAGTGATGAGACCAATAAATGCAAGACCAAGTGTGATTTCTGTTAGAGATTACATGGAAGAGGATGTGCATCCGGATCAACCATTAGCTCGGTCAGATTTTCTTCATAGAGGAGAATATCCTGGTGATCCATCTTATATTAGCTGTTAGTGTTATTTCATTAGTTTGTTTAGAATTTACTTTGGATGAGAAGCCAAATTAAGTATTACTTCTGCTAGGATAAGCTGTTGCATGTTAGTTCAAATTACAATATCAAAGCAACAACTGGTTCTTGGATGGAAATGGTTCTAGATCAACAATTTTTGCCTTCCTAACTTGTTTGTTATTTTTTGTTAGATCACCCGGATGAGGAAATGGTTCTAGATCAACAATCTTTACGATCACATGTTCCTGAAAGAAGCAGATATGACTCTCCATCTTATGGTAATTGCGAATGTATTTTTATCACAAGTTTGGTTGCAATTTATTCAGACAGGAGAAAGTCATTTAAGTATCCTCTTCTGTTCAGTTTTTACATATTTGATTATAATTACACTATTAGTGTGATGTACACTTTGTCTCTCAGTCTCTTTCCCGCTCTGATAATTGGACTGTGTTATTGATAAATTATACGTTGTAGTGGAAAAGGCTTGGAGATGGGGCTATG